ACAAGGCTTTCCACATTTTCATTTTGCACTAGGCCCTGCAAATTCTGTATCCAGAAATATCAACAAGTACTTAATAATGATCTTAAAAGTATTCCACTTTAACTGATATATCTAATGTTAGCAGCTCAGGAGGAAATGATTAAATGCCATGGTTAGGAGTAGTGACTTTGGATTCAGTAGCACCTGGTTTATATTCTAGTTCTGGCCCAGCTGGTGCTGTGAGACATCAACTATGTGCTTAAGCTAAGATTCATTTTCCTCATTCATAGAATAAATGAACTAATAGTACTTTCACCAAAAAGTACATACAAGGATGTTTTTAGCAGAACCATTCATAAGGGCCCCAAACTGGAAACAATTCAAATGTCTATTTATAGGGGAATGGGTAAATAGCAATTTGTTTATACAGTGGAGTACTACATAGCAATGCGAATGAATGCAATACAACTACAAGCAACAACATGAGTGAGACTCACAAACATAATATAGAAAGAAAGAAAAGACATTAAAGAGTATAAGTTTATGTATATAAAGTTCAGAAGTAGACAAAAATCTCTGCTGTTAAAATTTAGGATATTGGGTCTCCTTAGGAGGAGAAGGGGACACAGGGAACTTCTGGAGGTCTAGTGATGATGTGTCCTCTGCTATGACATGGGCATATCCACACTGTAAAATTCAACAAGTTATATGCTGGGGGATTTGTGCACTTTCCTGTATTTTATACTTCTATAAAATTTGCATTTAAAAAAATAGTCTTATCGTACAATTACTCAGAAAATTAAAGAAACAATTGTGGAATCCTTAGAGATGCTTCAAGAAATCCACAGAATATAAGTTTCAATACTCTCATTAAATAATTTATAGACTGAAACAGAAGAATTAGGGCCACGATTTCAACCAGTGTATTGGCTGTTCACTTTGTCCTTTTGAGTGATCTTTAAGACTTTGAAAGCCTTTGGTAAACATTGATAATTAAAGGAAAATTTAATAAAAGGTAAATAAAATTGAGCTTCTCTGGCCATCATAAGGTTTCTTTTAAGTAATCCCTTTTTATTGTATAGGAAAGTAAAATGAAGCATGTTTGCCTTTTTAGTAAAAGGTTGAACTGTAAACCCATTCTCAGACAGGTGCCCAGAAGTTGTTGAATATTCTCTTATTTGATCACTTTGTGAAAGATTTTTTAAATTTACTTATTTGAAGTCTACATTTATAGTTGTCATTTTATCCTTTGCCAGGACTATTTTTCCATTTTTGCTTTCATTTAGTCTGGAAAACTTGTTCTTTTATTTCATATATATATGTTTATTTTTAGGTCACTATGAAAGGCTTATATTTCCAGCAGAGTTCCACAGATGAAGAAATAACATTTGTATTTCAAGAAAGGGTAAGAAAAAATGTTTAATCATTAAAGTAAACAAGATAGTGTATCTTTATATGCCATAAACCCACTTTTAAATGACATGTTATTTTGAGTGGGACTTAATAAACAAAAATTACTTAAACGAAACTCCTCAAATTACAGTACTTTCCTTTAAATTGTATGTGAAAATGGTGGTTCATATTGTAGTGTAACAAAAATTTTTTGTTTCATTTTGTTTTTAATTGACACATAATTATATATATTATTGGGCACAGAGTGATATTTTGATTCATGTATAAATATGTAATGATCAAATCAGGGTAATTAGCATATCATCACTAAAATACTTGCCATTTTGTTATGTCATTCAAAATCTTCTCTTCTAGCTATTTTGAAATATGTACTACATCGTTAACTATAGTCAGTCTACTGTACAATAGAACACCAGAACCTATTCCTTCCATCTATCTGTAACTTTGTACCTGTTGACCAACCTCTCTCCCTAGCTCCCACCCCTTTCATCTCCCCAGCCTCTGGTAACCATTATTGGAATTTCTACATCTATGAAATTAACTTTTTTAGATTCAACATTTGAGTGATATCATGTAGTATTTGTCTTTCTGTGCTTTGCTTATGTTGCTTTGCACAATGTTGTCTAGATTCATTCACATTTTCACAAATGACAGGATTTTATTTTTTTATGGCTGAATAGTATTCTGTTGGGTATATATACCACCTTTTCTTTATCCATTCATTTGTTGATGGACACTTAGGTTGATTCCATATCTTGGCTGTTGTGAATGGTGCTGCAGTCAACATGGATGTACAGATATCACTTTGACGTATTGCTTTCATTTCCTTTGGATGTATGTATACCCAGGAGAAGGATTGTTGGATTACATGATAGTACTATTTTTTTTTTAATTGAGACAGAATCTCACTCTGTCACCCAGGCTGGAGTACAGTGGTGCGATCTCAGCTCACTGCAACCTCTGCCTCCAGGGTTCAAGTGATTCTCCTGCCTCAGCCTCCCGAGTAGTTGGGATTACAGGTGTGCACCACCATATCTGGCTAATTTTTGTATTTTTAGTAGAGACAGGGTTTCTCTGTGTTGGCCAGGCTGGTTTCAAACCCCTGACCTCAGGTGATCCACCCTCCTCAGCCTCCCAAAGTGCTAGGATTATAGGGGTGAGCCACCACGCCCAACCTGGTAGTTCTATTTTTCATTTTTTGAGGAACATCCAGATTTTTGTCTATAATGGCTATACTAATTTACATGACCACCAGTGGTGTATAAGAGTTCCCATTCTCCATATCCTCACCAACATTTGTTATTTTTTGTCTTTTTGATAATAGCCATTCTAATGGGGATCAGGGGATATCTTCTTGTGGGTTTGATTTCTATTTCACTGATGGCCATGGTCAAGTGCTATTCATCCCAGGGATGCGAGGATAGTTCAACATTAGCAAATCGATAATATGTGATATATCACATTAACAGAATGAAGGACAGAAACTCTCAATAGATACAGAAAAACTATATAATAAAATTCAGCATCCCTTCATGATAAAAACCCTACATAAATTAGGTATAGGATGAATAGACCTAAATACATATATTAGGTATATGCAATAAAATAAAAGCCATGTATAACAAACCTGCAGCTGACATCATACTAAACAGGAAAACGTTGGAAGCTTCTCTTCTAAAATCTGGAACAAGACAAGGATGTCCACTTTCACTACTTCTTTTCAACATCGTGCTAGAAGTCCTAGTCAGAGCGATTAGGCAATAGAAAGAAAGAAAGAGCATTCAAATTGGAAAGAAGAAAGTCAAACCATCCCTGTTTGCAGATGACGTGATCTTATGTATAGAAAATCCTACAGAATCCACCAAAAAACTATTGGAACTAATTAACAAATTCAGTAAAGTTGCAGGATACAAAATAAAAAATCAGTAACCATTCTTTTTTTGTTGTTGCTCTTGTTTTGTTTTTTTGAGACAGGGTCTTGCTCTGTCGCCTGCACTGGAATACAGTGATGCAATCTGGGCTCACTGCAACCTTCCCCACCACCAGCTCCCCTCTAGCCTCCTGAGTAGCAGAGACTATGGGCATGAGCCCCTATACCTGTTGAACTAACTTTTTTTTTTTTTTTTTTTTGTAGAGGCAGGTTTTGCCACATTGCCCAGGCTGGTCTCGAATTCCTGGGCTCAAGCTATCCTTTTGCCTCTGCTTCCCAAAGTGCTGGAATTACAGGCGTGAGGCACCATGCCCAGCCAAATAGCAGTTCTCTGTACCAACAGCAAACTATCTGAAAAGGAAATTGAAAGGCTAGGCACCTGTAATTCCAGCACTTTGGGAGACCAAGAGCGGAAGGATTACTTGAGTCCAGGAGTTCAAGATTGGCCTGGGCAATACAGGGAGACCTCGTTTCTACAAAAAAATTTTCTTTTTAGTTAGCCAGGCGTGGTGGCTTGTATTGTAGTCCCAGCTACTTGGGAGGCTAAGGTGGAAAGATCACTTGAGCCTAGGAGGCCAAGGCTGTAGTGAGCTGTGATCTTGACACTGCACTTCAGCCTGAGCAACAGAGCAAGACCTTGTCTCAAAAAAAAAAAAAAAGGAAAGAAACAAATTAAGAAGGCAATCCCATTTATAATACCTACAAAAAATAAAATACCCAGGAATAAATTTAACCAAGGAGGTAAAATATCTCTACAATGAAAACTATAAAATATTGATGGAATAAATTGAAGAGAACAGTAATAAGTAGAAAAATAGTCTACATTCACTCATTGGAAGAATTAATATTATTAAAATGTCCTTTCTATCCAAAGCCATCTACAGACTCGATGCAATCCCTATCAAAATGCCACTGGCATTTTTCACAGAAACAGAAAAATAATCCTAAAAATCGTATGGAACCACAAAAACTCTGAATAGCCAAAGCCATCTTGACCAAAAAAATAAAGCTGTAGGCATTACACTACCTTACATTAAAAAATATTTTTAAAAGAAATTGCTGCAAGAGTTTTTAGTTCTTGAGGTTGGTGGTGTAAAAGGCATTAGGAAGATGGAACAAACTTAATAGTCTTACATGTTACAAAAGTAACCCAGTTTATTCTGAATACCACAATAATGCAAATTTTAAAGTAGCCTGATCTCAGAAAAGACCTTGTCTCATATGTGAAATGGAAGAGGTAGAAAAATATTGTTTTCCATACAAATTTCAGACATTGCCAAAGTTACCTCATTTACTGAGTTTTCAGTGATTGCTAGTTTTTTATTACTTTAAGCATTGATAGTAGAATTTTCATATATAGTATTGGTGACTATTAGAAAGATCTGTGGCAAGCCAAAATCATTCTTCTATAAATTTAGGGATTAAAAGTAAGTGCTATATATAAATCAGTATTTCATAATAATAATGGGAGTTCGGATCATGAACACAATCCAGTTTTCTTTCTTGTCTTTCATTAACTCTTAAAACATTTAGGCTGGGCAAGTGGTGCATGTCTGTAATCCCAGCACTTTGGGAGGCTGAGACAGGAGGATCACTTGAGCCCAGGAGTTTAAGACCAGCCTGGACAATAAAGTGAGACACCCATTTCTTTCTTTCTTTCTTTTTTTTTAAATTAAAACTGGGGAAAGCGCGAACGCAGTCCCCCACTATCACAAATCATGCAGTCGTCGAGTTTCCCACATTTGGGGAGTCACAGGGGTCAGCACATCTGGAGTGCAATGGATAAGCCTCACCCTGGGAAAACCACCTTCATGATCATGGTATCACCCCTGAGACACCCATTTCTACTAAAAAAAAATTAGCTAGGCTTGGTGGCACCCACCTGTGTATGTCAAGACTACAGTGAGCTCTTTGCACCACTGCAATCCAGCCTCAGTGATACAGCAAGACCCTGTCTCAAAAAGACAAAAATAGGCCAGGAGTCTATGTTTCAGAAAGCTTGGCTTCTATCATTGATCAGATAGAGGTCTGGTTGATTAGCTCTTGGGAAGAAACATCTCCAGGTTTACACCATCATGAATAAAATTCACAAACTCATCAATATTATTGAACATCTTCATATTATTACCAAGTTTTGTCAAATCTGACATTTAAAAAGATGTGCTCAGATTGTGTTCATGACAAACAAAACACAGTAATCCCTTTGATACATCACAGGAAGGGCTATAAAAATGGATATTCTTAGTCAGCTTTTGATCTAATCTTGGGCATATCAGGGGCAGAGGAGACTGATTTAATTACTAGTACCAGGTACAGTTGTTTAGAGGAGGGATATTTAATAATATAGGTAGATAACATTGAATGTCTAAATTTAGACTCTTTTAGCCTTTTAATTTCTTTTTTTCTTTTTTCTTTTTTTTTTTTTTTTGAGACAGGATCTCACTCTGTCACTCAGGCTGGAATGCAGTGGCACAGTATCAGCTCACTGCAACCTCCACCTCTTGGGTTTAAGTGATTCTCCTGGCTCAGCCTCCTAAGTAGCTGGGACTACAGGTGTACACCACCTTGCCCAGCTATTTTCTGTATTTTTAGTAGAGACAGTTTTCAACATGTTGGCCAAGCTGGTCTCAAACTCCTGACCTCAAGTGATCCACTTGCCTCCCAAAGTGCTGAGATTACAGGCATGAGACACTGTGCCTGGCCTTGCCTTTGAATTTCTATCTGGAAGTGGAATCTGAGGGATAATTAAGTTCAATTGTATATGTTGACCCCAGAATCCCATGGGGCATGATGAAATGTCCAAGGCACATGTTAAGGAAGAGTTGAATAAAGGACTATATAGAATTTCACTGGCTGGCTTGGCACAGTGGCTCATGCCTGTAATCCCAGCACTTTGGGAAGCCAAGATGGCAGATCAGGATTAAAGCATGAGACATAGTGCCCAGGCTTAAATTTTCTTAATGCTTTATAAGTGGCTATTCTTGGCCAGCTTTTGATCTAATCTTGGTCATATCAGGGGTAGAGGAGACTAATTTAATTATTTAAATTAGGAGTTTAAGGTCAGGAGTTCAAGACCAACCTTGGCAACATGGCGAAACCCATCTCTAGTAAAAATACAAAAATAATTTGCCAGGTATCGTGACTCATGCCTGTAATCCTAGCTACTCAGGAGGCTGAGGCAGGAGAATCACTTGAACCCAGGAGGCAGAACTTGCAGCGAGCCGAGATCGTACCACTACACTCTAGCCTGGGTGACAGAGAGAGGCTCTATCTCAAGGAAAAAAAAAAAAAAAAAGAAAAGAAAAAAAAAATTTCACTGGCTCACTGGCTGGGCACAGTGGCTCACATCTGTAATCCCAGCACTTTGAGAGGCCAAGACAGGAGGATTATTTTAGCCCAGGAGTTTGAGACCAACCTGGGCAACTCAGCAAGATACCATCTCTATTTTTTTTATTATATTTTAAAAAAAGAATTTCACGGCTGGGCGTGGTGGCTCACACCTGTAATCCAAGCACTTTGGCAGGCAGATCACCTGAGGTCAGGAGTTCAAGACCAGCCTGACCAACACAGTGAAACCCCGTCTTTAAAAAAAAAAAAAACGAATAAATAAAGAATTTCACTTACAGCATTAAGAAAATTTAAGGGCTAGGCACTATGTCTCATGACTTTAATCCCAGCACATTGGGAGGCTGAGGCAGGAGAATTGCTTGAGCCCAGGACTTAGAGACTAGCCTGGGCAACATAGCAATACCCCATCCCTACAAAAAATTAAAAATCAGCTGGGTGTGGTGGTGCATGACTGTAATCCCAGCTACTCGGAAGGCTGAGGGAGGGGCATCACTTAAGCCCTGGAGGGGCGGCTGCAGTAAACTGTGATGGCTCCACTACACTCCAGCCTAGAAGACAGAGTGAGACCCTGTCTCAAAACAAAACAAACAAACAAATTCTGAAAATTAGTAAAGGCTATATGTTATGTGCATATGTGTTTAAGGATATCCCTGTAAATGTAAAGATCTGATGTTCTGAGATTATTTAGGTTGAAATAAAGGAGTACAGTATTTGCTGCTTCACTTCGTTATCCTAACTTTATTGTCTACACACATATATCCATATTGTTATCTGAGTGCTTTTTAAAATATATATTCTAAAGGTTTTTTAAAATTGTACTCCCATATTTTCTTTATTTTGCATTATGTATTTTTCTATACTTAATTGTAATTGTTAAAATTCGCTGTAAGATTTGGGGTCTGTTTAATTTTGTTTAATTATGTGAAAATTTTCACGGCATTAAGACCTGTTCTCATAGGAATGTGTAAAATAACAGTATTTTATTATCATTTGGTTCTAGGAGAATCTTCTGGTTACAGAGGACAACTTTGTGAAACTTCAAGTTAAAGCTTGCGCTCTGAGCCAGATAAATACAAAGGTATTGTTGCTTTCGTTATGGCCCAAAGTAAAATGAAAACTTCTTAGTATATTTATTGTATATATGTAATGATAACTGACCTCTGAATGTGAAAAATTTATTATCTTCATTTTTATTAATTTTTTTTATTTGAGGCAGAGTTTCACTCTTGTCGCCCAGGCTGGAGTGCAGTGATGTGACCTCTGCTCACTGCACCCTCCACCTCCTGGTTTCAAGCAATTCTCCTGTCTAAGCCTCCCGAGTAACTGGAATTACAGGGTTGCGCCACCACACCCAGCTAATTTTTGTATTTTTTTCAGTAGAAACAGGGTTTCGCTGTGTTGGCCAGGCTGGTCTCAAACTCTTGACCTCAGGTGATCCGCCCATCTCGGCCTCTCAAAGTGCTGGGATTATAGGCGTGAGCCACCGTGCCCGGCCTGTCGTCTTTAGAAGAATAGAACAGCTAGGGGAAAAAATGTAGTGTGCTTTTGTATATTTCCATGTAAGAGACATTATTAGTCTGATTTAAGTTATGTATTTTATATGAAGATATAAATATTTTATAAGAAAATAGAAATATTTAATGTAAATATTTTATAAACTCCTTTACATTGCAAAAAACTGAGTTTATAATTAATAAAGCCGATTATTAAGGAAGAAATAATAAAATAGAAACTAGAAACCTAATCAGTTTATTAGCTACCAATTAGATATTTCTAATTAATATCATTAGTTATGGTTCATATTCTTCTTCTTATTATTTCTTTTTGTCTCGCTCTTTCATAAACATACATCTCTATCTCACACTACCCTGCAGTAATCTTTCATTATTGACCGTGAAATACATAGAACGTTTTCAGTGGTAAATAAACCGTGGTTAAATGTGCCGTGATAAATTGAACAGGTCCATTTACTCTGTTTGTTTAAGATTAATGCCATAGTTTATCTGACTAGTAACTTATTGGATTATAATGTCATCATAATTTTTAGGAACCTAAAAGTCCTCTTTGATAAAGTCACACTTAGGAAATTACAGACCAGGTATAGGCTTTCATTGGGCAGCTCTGTAACATGAGCATGACTTGAGAAAGCCATTAGTGGAATTCTCTGAAGTCTTTTCACAAGAATACTAGTACTAGACCTTATCTGCAGATTTTTGTCTTCAGATGTATTTATTAAAACTGAAAAATCCATTAAAATCCAAGTCTAGGAAATAATTTCCTTGTCTAACAGAAATAAATGGTAAATTATGATAAAATCAATTGAATGAAATATTACACATCTGTTAAGCATAATGGTTAAGAAAACTGTGTAGATAATATAAGAAAATGCTTGCCGGGCATAGTGACTCATGCCTGTAATCCCAGCACCTTGGGAGGCCAAGGAGGGCAATCACAAGGTCAGGAGTTGGAAACCAGCCTGACCAACATGGTGAAACCTCACCTCTACTAAAAATACAAAAATGAGCTGGGTGTGGTGGCGCACACCTGTAATCCCAGCTACTCAGAAGGCTGAGGCAGGAGAATCGCTTGAACCCAGGAGGCGGAGGTTGCAGTGAGCCGAGATTGTGCCACTGCACTTCAGCCTGGATAACAGAGCAAGACTCTCAAAAAAAAAAAAAGGAAAAGAAAAAAATGTGTATGGTAAGTGAAGGAGCCAGGATACAATTGCCAAAACCATGGCTATAACTCCATACAAACGTGCATAAAAGAAACGCTGTAAAGTATCCAGTACTTCTATAAGAATGTCATATGAGGCCAGGGGTATGGCTCATGCCAGTAATCCCAGCACTTTGGGATGCCGATGCAGGTGGATCATGAGGTAAGAAGTTCAAGACCAACCTGGCCGACATAGTGAAACCCCATCTATATTAAAACGACAAGAAATTAGCCAGGCATGGTGGTGGGTGCCTGTAATCCCAGCTGCTCAGGAGGCTGAGGCAGGAGAATCGCTTGAACCCGGGAGGCAGAGGTTGCAGTGAGCCGAGATTACACCACTGCACTCCAACCTGGGTGGCAGTGGAAGACTCCATCTCAAAAAAAAAAAAAAAAGAAGGTCATATGAACATCTTAGGAAAAGTATAATGTTCCACATTGAAAAAGAGACTTCTGACAATCAAGTATACATACAGGAGATCACAAAATTGAAAAATATAGAAGAGAATTATTTCCATTTTTTTTTTACTTACTGTTCTTAAAATACTATGGTATCTACAAATACATTCAGCATCTCTAGTGTTCCAGAGCTTAAACCACAGGCTTATCTTAGCACACCCTGTTACTTTAAAAGACAGTACTTAAAATTAATTTAGTCACAATCTAATAAAATATCAATCTCTCAAAAATTTAGCCTTAACCAAAAGAAACTCCATTCACCATTAATCTGAAATTATATGGCAGATTACCTGTTTGTATCTATCACATCTTCTCACCCACTCCCTAACCAAGGCTTTTGAGACTCAGGTGAATTTAAAGGGTATAGGATTGGAGAATCCTTTGTTCTCATTGGCCGTACCTCTTTATTCAACACTGTTCTCTCCAGACTACTCTCTCCTCACCTGAATAAGATGACTGATAAATAGTGTTTAGCCAACCAAGAAATGTTTTGGCCATAATTTCCCTTCATACTTGGCAGAGTAAAGATGTTAAACAAAGGATGTTAATGGTAATTTGAATAATACTATTCATTCTTAAGTCCTGCATATCAACTAAAGCCTTGGCATATTCTTGGTTTCATACCATTTAGAGAAACCAGTTTTGTGAAGTTATTTGCTTTGTCTTAATTCCAAAAATTGAAGCTGTATTTGCTCTCTCTGTGATTTGACTTTGGCTCTCACTTTCCTCATACATGATAGAGTCCAGGATTTCTTCTGACAGTAGTGTGTTAACAGCCTTTGTCATGATTTAGCTTCTGGAAGAAATGAAGATGAAAAAGGATTTCTTTCCTGTTGGGAGAGAAATTGCTGGAATTGTATTAGATGGTAAGTATACGGATGGGAGTATCTGTATTTGTTTTCTAAGGTAAAAGAAATTAAATGGTAGCTAACTGGTTTACTGGTACATAAAATTATATACACCCTTTCAAATTTAAATTTATACAAATATGTTGTCCTTTTTAATTTATGTATTTATTTCACAAATAAGACTTTTTATTTGCCACTATTATAAGTCTGAACTTTAAACAGATTCTTGGACTGGTGGTTCATACCCATCAGCTCATTCAACGTTAGCACCTGTCTCATCCCCAGTAGCTTTTCCAGAACTACTGCCTTTACCGTGAAGCTCCATGAGTTTTCCCAACTCAAACTTGGGCTTCTTCAGCATTTTTACTTTTCTAACGAAGACATCATGGAGAGGATAAATAGATTGGCAAGCCGTCTCTATGTCTTTTCCAATGCTGTCTGGAATCAGTTTATTGACCACTTGCTTCAAGTCATTTGTCTGCACCTCTTGGGTCATGATTTCCATCATCTTCTTCCGGATTTGGCGGACCTGTTGGTGCGAGCATAAGAGGTGTTTTGTATCTGATCGTTGCATTTTTTAGTAAGACCAACACAGAACAGACGAAGCAAGTAACCATCGGTAGTCTTGACATCAACATGAGCTTCAGTCATGGTCTGCCATTTTTTGACCATGGAACACATTTTGTCACGGGTCAGATCCATGCCATGGAAGTTAGTCAGGCAGTTTTTGCCCTGAACATCTTTATTAATCAGCTTGAATTTCCCAAATACAACTTCATCATTCTACAGATCAGCAAGAATAACTTCAAACACATGACCCTTGAGGCCATCACATGCAGTTTTGGTTCCTTGGGTCCTGGTGACTAATGTCTTTCCAATATTTCTTATATTGAACATAGTGGAGGCTTTCACATCATACCAATCTTCCTTAGAAAATGGATCAACCACTTTCTTCTTGGCTCCCTTTATGCCACCTTTCATAAGGTGCTTGTTCTTGCCAAAAGGCCTTTCTTATTTTTTTTTTTTTTTTTTTTTTTTTTTGAGACGGAGTTTCGCTCTTGTTACCCAGGCTGGAGTGCAATGGCGCAATCTCGGCTCACCGCAACCTCCGCCTCCTGGGTTCAGGCAATTCTCCTGCCTCAGCCTCCCGAGTAGCTGGGATTACAGGCACGCGCCACCATGCCCAGCTAATTTTTTGTAATTTTTAGTAGAGACGGGGTTTCACCATGTTGACCAGGATGGTCTCGATCTGTTGACCTTGTGATCCACCCGCCTCGGCCTCCCAAAGTGCTGGGATTACAGGCTTGAGCCACCGCGCCCGGCCAGGCCTTTCTTATTTTTATTTCTTTGAGAGATAGGGTCTCTCTATGTTGCCTAGCCTGATATCATAGTTACAGCCTTAACTCCTGGGCTCAAGCCATTCTACTGCCTCAGCTTCCCAGTAGCTGCATTTACAGCAAACTTGTCCAACCAGCATGTGGCCCAGGACAGCTTTGAAGACAGCCCAACACAAATTTGTAAATTTTCTTAAAACATTATGTGATTTTTTTTAAGCTCATCAGCTATCATTAGTGTTAGTGTATTTTATGTGTTGCTCATGTGGCCCAGGGAAGCCAGAAGATTGGACACCCCAGGTCTACAGGTACACAATATTATCTGCCTTTATCTGGCTTCTTTTTTTTTCCTTCAAGGCAGAGTCTCACTCTGTCACCCAGGCTTGGGTGCAGTGGCACAATCTCCACTCACTGCAACCTCCACCTCCCAGGTTGAAGCGATTCTACCTCAGCCTCCCAAGTAGCTGGTACTACAGACACTCGTTACCACGCCTGGGTAATTTTTGTATTTTTTGGTAGAGATGGGGTTAGATCATGTTGACCAGAGTGATCTCGAACTCCTGACCTCAAGTGATCTGCCACACCGGCCTCCCAAAGTGCTGGGATTACAGGCATGAGCCACTGTGCCTGAGCCTTTTTTTTTTAATTGAAAGGAAAAATAGGACTTAGTTGGTATTTTATACCTGAAGAGCTTATTACAGCTTAGTAAATATTTAGGGGTTGTATATTTAAATCCACAAGTAATCATATATTGAAGAGAATGACCAATATTGTCTTTTTGTGATGAAATAATGATCTTAACATACAGAACAGTAAGCCTTATATCAAGTATTTGATACAGTTTGTTTCTAAATATGCCTATACTTAATATTCACGAACAGGTGGTTCATGATTAACGTGTTTGCTCTTACCTTCTCTGTGAATGAATAAACATGTTAAGGTATGTTAGACTATATTTGAGTTTTACCTATGATTTTAACATATAATATATTTGATACTCTATGTTATCTTCTGACATAGCTAAATGATAATTGTTTCCTTTTTTGCAGACTGTAAAAAAATAAATATAATAACTAGATGATCATTCATTCATTCTATATTTAAGGAGCAATTGCTGAGTGCTTATAAGTGAAATGAAGTCCTTGCCTTTGAACAGTTCACTCTCTAGGGTAGAGACAAATATACACGTGAGCAAATTATTATGAAAGCTTCAAAGAAAGCTGCTTAACCCAGCCAGAAGAAACAGGAAAGGCGTCTTAGATTAAGATGTCCAAATAATAAGGGCAGGCAGGTGGAGAATCACACCCAGGAGAGAGGATATTATGAGCAAAGACAAAGAAGCAAGTGAAAATGGGATGTATATAAGAATTAAAAAGAGTTTGGTACTGTTAGAGCAAAGTAAAGGCCTAGGCAGGCGTCAAGGGCATGGTACTTGGTAGCAGAGAAACATTTTGTCAAGAAAATTCTCCTGGGCTGGGCATGGTGGCTCACACCTGTAATCCCAGCACTTTGGGAAGTAGAGGGGAAGAGTATCACTTGAGCCCAGGAATTTGAGACAACAGAGCAAGACCCTGCCTCAAAAAAAAAAAAAAAGAAAAGAAAAGAAAAGAAAAAACATTCTCCTTCAAATATTAGAGAATAAAAGATATTGCACAAAATACTTTAATGGTGATAGGAACACTAATTCCTACCTTCCAAAAATGAAGCAGGAGGATAGGCAAGGGCCCTTTGGTTGAACCTTATATATCAGATTGTATTTTAGGGAGATCATTAGAGTAGCCATATGAAGGAAGAGTGGATGTGAGGCAAACAAGTGTCCATGGGCAAGAGGACTCGTTGGGTTGTGGACCAGGAGGCAAGAGACAGCAAAGTCCATAACCTTGACAGTGTTGGTAAAGGTGGAAAAGAGGGACTGGTTTAAGCCATGTTGAGGAAGTAAAGTCAGCGGGACCTAGTAATTCATTGGAACTGGGAAATTAGAAACAGATCAGAACCAGGAATGGCTTACTACAGAATTCTGGTTCAGGCTTGAATTGGTACCAACATTTGATAAAGGAAGGTGATCCAATGTGGAAGAATATGATGAGTTCAGATTTATACTTGTTGAGTTCAAGGTACTTACGTGACATCTCACTGGCAATATCTAGTAAGCAATTAAATGAGTTAAAGCTCAAGGATGAGAGTATATATTTGAAAAATGTTGGCATGTAGGTTGTATTTGAAATAATAGAGTTAATGAGTTCTCCAAGGGAGAGAATTGAAAAGGAGAGATGTAAACAAAGAACCCTTGGGAATGCAGTGTTTGAGGGTCAGTTAAAAGAGGAGTATGAAAGAAACCAAGAAAAAAGAGTCAGAGTGAAGGAGGACAGGGATCAGCAGTAGACGGGAAAGAGAAAAGTACAGTGAATCAGAAGCCAAAAGGACTGGGGGATGATGGCACAGGAGGGAGCCAAAGAAGAAGCAAACTGCAAAAGGAAGTCTTGAAAGTGGAAATACCAGACTTCGAATTACTTGCTAGTGGCAACAAATGCATTCTGGGGTCATACTGATGACAGAGCCAGTCGAAGGGGCCACTTCCAGATTCAGGTTTCCATCTTACTTCACTGCTTCACCTCAGTTTCCTCGTCTGTTAAATAGGAATAATAATACCTACCTTATTGGTATATTGTGAAGTTTAAATGTATAAACACACTACATTGCTGAGTACAAGGAGGCATTCAACAATGTTTGGGGTTTTTTCCTCCCCTTTCTTGTAACTCTTTGAATGAAATGACTCAAGTGAATTGACTGATAGTCGAGGCTTTTTCTCCACATATGCAGAGAAAATGTAACCATATCATTTCCATAAAGTTCCAGAAAACTTCTTGGTACCAACTTGAATTTATTTATCAACTCAAAATAATTTTAATGTCAATCTTCTCAGAATTCCCTGTTGTATGAGAGTCTGCAATTAAAAGATTGGGCTAGCCCCAGAAGGAGTAGAAAATAACATAATTATCATAGAAGCTATAGAATGGATTCTTTTCCTTTACTCCTTCTTCCTTAAAGTCAGCTAAATAGAGGCCGGGCACAGTGGCTTCCACCTGTAATCCCAGCACTTTGGGAGACCAACGCAGGTGGATCACTTGAGGTCAGGACTTCAAGACCAGCCTGGCCAACATGGTGAAACTCCATCTCTACTGAAAATACAAAATTAGCCAGGCGTGGTGGTGCATGCCTGTAGTCCCAGCTACTTGGGAGTCTGGGGCATGAGAATCGTTTGAACCCAAGAGGCAGAGGTTGCAGTGAGCTGAGATCACACCACCGCAATCCAGCCTGGGCTACAAGAATGAAACTCAGTCTCAAAAAAAAAAAAAAAGTCAGCTAAATAGGCAAAGAGAGGCATACTTTTCCCTCATCTCAACAATTGTGTGACCCAGATATCTAGAGAATTCAGATTTGAGGTGCTCTATATCCTGTAGTCCTTATAGACCATCAAAATGTTACTAACATTTTTGGCCTTTTTTCTGAGTAAAAATAAAATCAGTCATTTTACAAACCCACAGATTTTAAACATGTATTTTAATAGTTAAGAATTATGTTTAATAAACTTGTAATATTAACTATTAATTTTCTTCACTCTTTAGTTGGAAGCAAGGTATCATTCTTTCAACCAGATGATGAAGTAGTCGGTAAGTTATAGCTGATAGTCTTATTTCAAGTCATCTCTTTTCCTGTCATCTCTTTTTTTATATATAACTATTAATGTTCACTCTGACCTTGCTTCATATAGAAATACTTTACTGGTTTTTGGAATTTACTCTCAAATTTCTATTGATGATAAAAATTGGAACCTTGATTGCAATAGCAGAACATTTAAAACTTTTCAATATTTAGCTATAGAACAATTTTTTTTTTTTGAGACGGAGTTTTGCTCTTTTCACCCAAGCTGGAGTGCAATTGCTTGATCTCAGCTCACTGCAACCTCTGCCTCCCAGGTTCAAGCGATTCTCCTGTCTCAGCCTCCCAAGTAGCTGGGATTACAGGCGGGCATCGTCATGCCTGGCTAAATTTTTGTATTTTTAGTAGAAACTGGTTTTACCATGTTAGCCAGGCTGGTCTTGACCTCCTGACCTCAGGTGATGCACCCACCTCGGCCTCCCAAAGTGCTGGGATTACAGGTGTGAGCCACTGTGCCCAGCCAGCTGCAGAACAA